TGAAGCCTATTTAAGGGAAACGTTTTAGAGGCGGTATTAGATTGAATAAACTAGAAAAGGTAGATGGAAAATTCTTAAGTGAGGTAAAGAAAAGAGGGACTGCTTTCGAGGAATAATAGTTGAACCATATAGGCGATCGCTAGACTTGAGGTTTTTTAAAAATGGATGTGTTCGAAGAGGTAAGAACGGAGAGCGAAGAAGATATAGTACCTAAGCTTTTGATATATTATTATTAATTGTTAAAAATAAAATTAGTAGGAGAATAAGCCAACCTCTGAAATGGGCAGACCATTTGCGCTTGTAAAATCTATAATATCTGAGGGATCTATTGTTAGCGTTGAAGAAATTGAGAGCAATGAGTAGTATATCAGTAATTTAATATTGAAAGCGGGATATAGAGAGATAACCAAACGGAGAAGTTACGGAAAGTAAAAGTTATAAGTTATATAACTGTATACTATATATATAAAGAGATATTCTCTTATTAATAATATTTTGGACCTACGAAGAAGTGGCATATGTGTAAAAAGATCCAAGTAGAAATTTAAAGTGTGAATGTTTAAAGGGTATGAACTATAGATGTCGTTTACAGATAAAGGGTGTTATAATCTATATGTTTTGTAATGACGTCAAGTGAAAGTCATAAGTTGTATAACTGTATACTAAATATAAAAAGATATTTTCTTATTAACAGTATTTTAGACCTGTAAAGCGGTGGGAAATGTGTAAAAAGATTTAAGCAAAACTTAAAGTGTGAATGAGTAATATTAAATTTAGTAAAAGGCATGAACTAGAGATGTCGTTTACAGGTGAAAGGTGTTATATTCTATATGTATTGTAATAATGTCAAGAATAAAAAAACTATATACGAGTAGCTTAAGCATAAGTTAAACACTACGGTACTAATTAATGCACATTAGAATTAGTCAACCTATGAATGCACTGATGTTGCTTAAACTTTGAACCAAACTTGAGAAGTATTACACGGTTCTTGAATAAAAAATTTTTAAAAATACTTTAAAGTCAAGAAACGGGATAGTCAGACTGGACAGCTTTGGAAAGGAGTTTACGGTTAGTAGCAATAAAATCATTAAGATTGGTAGTGTACCTAATAAACCTTGTCAGTTGAGTAATTACTGTGCCTCGCAGTAGCGTTTTTGTAGTGTTTGTGGTAAAATGAGTAAAAGAAACAACTCTAAGTTTAAAAGAATCTTTCTTAGTGTAAACTTTAGTAGTAAATTTCTTGTCTTCGCCGGCTCTAATGGTTAGATTTAAAAAACTGACAGAAGTACTTGGTTTATTCAAAGTGATACTAAGTTTGTTATCGTAGATATTCCCAAGATCCATACGTTCTGAACAAAAATTGGTAACTAAAATATCGTCGATATATCTAAAGTATTTAATATATCAAGGGAAGTTCATATTATTGAATTCTAGAACACTTAGAGTTATATCAGCAATCTCCGCACTACAGTTATTTCCGATAGGTATCTCAGTAGTTTGCTCAAAAATCAAGTTAGCATATTTTATGCAACTTTCCTTAACAACATAATAACAAAATTCAAAAATTTCTGATTCTAAAAGACAAATATAGTTAGAAGAATATTTATCACTGAATACAATAGAGTCCTGATTGTGTACGTAAAGAGTATTATAATCTATGAGTTGTAATGACGACAGATAAGAGGATGGTGGTCTTATTAGTGGTGAGCGGAGAGTAAGCAACGATAACCGGCCATCGTCGGACCAACTGGGAGGGGTGGGATCATCCTTCTTAGTTTTGCATAGCGTTCCCTATCTGTAAGAAACTTCCAACGGGTTTGCTACGCAAACGGAAGAATCGAAAATACTGTGTTGTATCAATGATAGGCAAAAAGTATGATAGTCTTCGTAGCCGTGACCGGAGATAAGCAATAGTAGCCGACCATAGTCGGCCGACCAGGAGAGGATTTTGTCCGTCTCAGTTTTGTAAAGCGTTTCCTGTCTGTAAGCAACTTTCAACGGGTTTGGTACGCAAACATGAGAATCAAGAATACTGTGTTGTATCAATTACGGAGAAAAAGCATGGCAGTCTTGGTAGTGGTGACCGGAGAGTAAGCAATGATAACCGGCCATCGTTGGACCAACCGGGAGGGAAGATCGCCCATCTTGCTGGAGTTGTGCCAGTTTTCTGTGTGAAACTTTGAGTTTCCTGTTGCTGTTTGGAGATATTTTCTTTTGATTGGTTGTGTTAGTATGTCCGGTTGGTAGCGGTTGTGGTTTTGCTTGAAGGTAGATTCGGAATTTGTTTATTTTCGCTATTTGGTTTGCGTCTCATATGTTCTTTTTGTTTTTGGATAGAGTGCTGCGTTGAGCCGAGGTCTGAGTGTATAGTCAATATACGAGTTCTGTTTCTAAGGTAGTTTCTGGCAAGTGCTACATGTGTTTGCGGTGGTTGTCTGGTTTAAGGGTGACCGTTTATTGTCGCACCTGAGGTAGCTATCTTTTTGCTTGATTGTTTTGATTTTTTGTGTTTTTGATGATATGTTAGTACTTCTGTGGAAGTTATTTTTTTGTCTTGGAAGGTGCTTTTCTTTCATGTGGATTAGTTAAACGTTTTTCTGCGATATGTTTAGTTCCGGATTATTCCCTGAGCTTAGTGTGTGTCTTTAGTTTTTCTCTTTCTGTCGACTGTGCTTGAGACCCCTTTGTTTTTATTTCTGGTTTCGAAATAGTCAATTTTTTAAGTTTTAGTACAAGTGATGAACGACTTGCCTCGAATACATTATGAGGTCTCCGTTTTTTATTTAGATTGGTGTAGATGACGTCTCAGCGGAGAAAAAAGCTGCGATGTTCAGAACGGTGCTCTATCACTTCGGTCGATTGCACTCATGTGCAAAGTTCTTGCTTGAAAGGTGATTTTTATTTCTTTTTTTTTTTTTTTTCTGCGTAGAAGCGTATTTTGTGAATTGCTTTGTCTGGTTTCGATGTTGCTTTTACAAC